ATTTCAGGAAAGGGCCCACAACCCCAAAATGCTTGCAGAGTCTGGGCTCCAAAATTTAAAGAGTTCCAAATCATTGTCTAGTCTCTAGTTTTAACTTGTCATCTCTGGAGAGCAGAGTGAATAGGGCCAGCAACGTGAAAAAAACCAGAATTATCAATAAGAAAAGAAAAGCAGTAGTACTTTCTTAGTGCTGGAGGAGACAATGGTTTTAAAATATACACTGTCCTGTAACGTTCTCATTGGTTTTGCTATTTCCCTTGTATTTTTTCCTCATGAATCATACCATCTGAAATTAATATAATGTCTTTTACTTAAAGCCAAGCAGTGAAATGTTGGGTATTGTTAACACAACTGGAGAGTATGGGTACCTTAGGATGAGGAGTATGGTTACTTGGACTTAGTCTGATTTCTGCTCTCTTTGAAAAGTAGCAATCTCTTGATAAGATATTCCCTTTGATTTAAAGGTGAACTACAAAGCAACTATTTTTAAACGGTTTAAGATCCCAAATTATTAACAGATTATAAGTCACAACTTGAAAATCCTACATAGCTCCTACAAGAACTGGTATTACAAATATTTAAATATGTGGAATATAATTTAGAGGGAAAGTGAAGGAGGCACTGATTTCAAATATTATGTTTTAAAAATCTAAGCATATTTGAAATTTTAAGACTGAGCCTCATTCTCCATTCTTTTGCACCAGTTTTACATCAGTGACTCCACTGAAATTAATGGAACTGTAAAACTGAGAACAGGGTATGAATCAGTCTCTGCATTTATTCTGTTCGGCAGGTTTGCCAATCCCAGACATTCACAAATCACAAGTCTCCCCGACCCCCACCAAAAAAACCTCACGAGACTTGCTAAGTAAATATGTTTTAAATAAAAGTCACATTGTTTATTGCCTGCCTTTTGATTTTTTTTTTAAACCACCTTTAGGGGAAAGCTACCAAACCGCAACTTGTGTGTAATTATCTCATAGTCAACATTCAGACTTAAATACACACACAAAAGTGCAGCCTCCTTGTTCACTGATCACAGGGAACTCATCCTCTCCTGTCCTCGGGATACAATGAGCAGTCCTCCTATTCTTCTCTCTCACCCTCCCCAACTATACAGAAAAGAGAGCTGCTGCATTCCCTCTCTTTGCATGCTCTCCCAGTCACTTATCCTAGTCTACATTCACTTGACTGCCATAGTTCCTTCTCTTTTTCCTGACAATATTCTGTGCATTCCATTTTTTTCTGCCAGGCCAGATTCCCCTGAACCACCTCTCAATCTGCCTTCTGCTTCTCCAACATTCCTCTGACCCCTACCCAGTTCCCTAAAACATTCCCTCTCACTCCTGCTGCCCAACGTCCAACTTCTATTACCTACACATTTTCCCATCACATGGTGACCAAAGGGAACTGACTTCCCCAAGGGTAGCCTAGCTTCAACCCCATTAAAACAATGTGCGAGTTTATGCTGGAGCTAGAGGTATAACTTCTAGTTTGAGTAAACACACATGCACTAATTTTAAGCAAGGCACCATACTAAAAACAGAAGTGTAGCTGCAGCGGTGTGAGTAGCAGGAGGGGCTAGCCCCCTAAGAACATATCTTATGTTTGTCAGACGGGATCATACTGAGGGCAGTAGCCTATCCCATGACTTGCGGTGCTGTGGCTACACTGCTATTTTTAGCATATTAGCTTCATCAGAGCTAGCACAGGTATGTCTACTCAAGCTGGAAATTACACCTTCCAGCTCCAGTGCAAACAGAGGCAGTGCTAGCCCACTGCGGGGCTCTAAGCAGGAATATTTTGGGGGCCCACCACACATAACAAAAGCAAATAGTGGGCCCCCTGGAGCTGCTTGGGGCCTTAAGAAACTGCTTAGTCTGCTAATGCCTAGTGCCGGCTCTGAGTGTAGAAATACCCAATGAGAGATAACATCCATTTTTGCTGGAGGCAGTCACGCTTTTCATTTACAAAAGTTAAAGCAACATGGTGACTATTTGGTTGAAGGCTAAATTTCACAAGACTGAAGGCAAAAATCAGAAATTTAAAAATCATCATTGAAGGGGCTTAATCCCTATCACCTGCTGAGCTAGTGAATGCACCTAATTGGTCATGCTTTGCACCTGGTGAGGTGAGTAGCTAATTGACTCTTAGCCAGAGGGGGTGGAGCTAAGCTATAATAAGTAGACTGAAGGAGCCAGGGCCCTCTCTGGCTGAGGGTTAGGTTACACAGAGACAATAGAGGCGGCGGCGGAGGAGGAGGAGAGTTCCATTTGAACTTGTGTCTGGATTTGTTTGATACCCTGGAGCAGAGACAGGTAGCCACCAGGAAGTGCTGGGGCCAAAGATAGTGGTAACGTCCCAGCTGATGCAGGGCGGGTTTTCTGAGGGTGAATGAGCCCTGCCACAACCACCAAACAAACACTGAGGATCATGATAAAGCCAAGTGATTTGGCAATACTGGCTTAGTGCAAATGCTGGCACTGCCCCTTCTTCCCAACAGGTGCAGAGGAAGGAGGCCTTAGATGCAGATGGCTCTGACAGCAGCAGAACCAGTGTGGTTCTGCTGAGTGGGATTTTAGGATGCTAGAAACCCAGCTTCATGTGCTTAGACTTGACAAGAGGGACAAAATTTGTTCCTTTTAAAAGTCTGGAGTATCAAAACTTTTTGTAATTGTGTTGTAATTTATTTGTAATGCCAATATTGTTTTAAAAGAAATTCATAAGCAAAAAGCAGTATTTCCAACCCCAAGTGTGCAAAAACCAAGAGTGAGAACCTGCCCAAAATCATTAAATTAGCTTAAACATCATTAGGGCTTTTTTAGACAATAAATCACTATTAAATTATCTTGTTTATAAAATCATCTTGGTGATTCAATGTGCATGTGACAACTACACATGGGGAAAAATGTGGACACACAAATACTAGCCCTGGCTCTCCTTTGTGGTGCATTTTGATTTTAAGACTGGTCCAACGTCAAGGCTTCCTTCAAAAAGCACATGAGATAAAATACACTCAGTAAAATTTAGAACATCTTTAATTTCTGAAGTGGATAGCAGAAGCCACAAGGAGATACAAAACTCAGGTATTTCATGTATTTTCCACATTTTTGAATTTGTATTACTGAGTCAGGTCACAGGCTAAAGTACATACACTACTTAAAGACTCAAAATAAAAACATGCTGTATTGTTAGCAGCTGGTTCAAATACATTAAAAACCAGTGAAATATGGGAACTAGAATTCTCACAGTAAGAAGTTTTCACTTTAGCCCTAATCTTGCCATGAGCTTTGTATGGGGGTCCCCCAACCTAGATGTCACTTCAAGAGAGGGGAATCTTAAATAGCAGGATTCATCAGGACCGAATGGCTAGGCAGCAGTTCTGCGGAAAAGGACCTAGGGGTGACAGTGGACGAGAAGCTGGATATGAGTCAGCAGTGTGCCCTTGTTGCCAAGAAGGCCAATGGCATTTTGGGATGTATAAGTAGGGGCATAGCGAGCAGATCGAGGGATGTGATCGTTCCCCTCTATTCGACATTGGTGAGGCCTCATCTGGAGTACTGTGTCCAGTTTTGGGCCCCACACTTCAAGAAGGATGTGGATAAATTGGAGAGAGTCCAGCGAAGGGCAACAAAAATGATTAGGGGTCTGGAACACATGAGTTATGAGGAGAGGCTGAGGGAGCTGGGATTGTTTAGCCTGCAGAAGAGAAGAATGAGGGGGGATTTGATAGCTGCTTTCAACTACCTGAAAGGGGGTTCCAAAGAGGATGGCTCTAGACTGTTCTCAATGGTATCAGATGACAGAACGAGGAGTAATGGTCTCAAGCTGCAGTGGGGGAGGTTTAGATTGGATATTAGGAAAAACTTTTTCACTAAGAGGGTGGTGAAACACTGGAATGCGTTACCTAGGGAGGTGGTAGAATCTCCTTCCTTAGAGGTTTTTAAGGTCAGGCTTGACAAAGCCCTGGCTGGGATGATTTAACTGGGAATTGGTCCTGCTTCGAGCAGGGGGTTGGACTAGATGACCTTCTGGGGTCCCTTCCAACCCTTATATTCTATGATTCTATGATCAGAGAATCTCAAAATGTTTACCAGAAATGAAGGGAGACTGTCTACTTAAGCATCACACTTCTGATTAAATCTCCTTACCTGCTTAAAAAAGTAGCATTTGATATTATTAAAAGCAAGCTTTTGTTTTGTTCATTTACTACCTTGTCATGTAGTTTCTTGTTTATGGGTTTTTCTAGAGAAACGAGAGGAGAAAAACGTTCTGTAACCGTGAAAGCACTGAGATTAGCCAGGTAGCTTAAGAGCACCTGTAATACTTCAAATTTTAACGTATTCAGTTTCAAGTCGTTGTTGGCCCTTCACATAATGAAGTCTTAGGACCAACCCTGTACTGGCACCACGTGGTCGGACCATCTCTAAAGTCAATGTGGTTTCACGCAGACACGGATCGGCTGGCTCAGAGCCTTGGTCAAGGCCACCCGTCAGCCGCTCAGGATTAGAATCCTGAACTCCACGAGCCCTGGGCTGGAGCCACCTTCCCGGTGCCCCCCCCCCCCCCGTCTCACGAGTCCCGGGGTTCCTCTGAGCCAGCAGAAGCGGCAGAGCAGCGCCCGGCGTTCAGGGGATGAGCCAACAGCTCCGGACCCTGCGCCGTGTCACGCACCCCTGAACCTCCTGGTCGGAGGAGGCAGTGGCCCAGAGGTGTCAGGGAAAGACCCCCCCCCCGTAATCTCCTCCTGAGGGAAGCCACCCTACAGTCTCACACCCGCGGTGGGGACCCCCCTCGATTCCTGGATACGGGGTAAGACGCAGCCTTCCCCCTTCGTCCCTCCCTCACCTACCTGCCTGACCCGCAACTTCAGGATCTCTCCCTCCCCCACACCAGAGCTACAGGGCCTGCCAACAACGCTCCTTGCTATTGGCTGGCGAGCGTCCCAAGCCGCCTCCCCATAGGTCGAAGCAGAGGGGGAGGAAAGGGACGCCGGGAAAAATGAGCCCTCTTTCCTCCTATCAACCGGGAGGAAGCTAAGATGGCGGCCTTGGCGACCGGCGGGGCGACGCCGAGTGACGGGGCTACTAGCTTCCAGCGGAAAGTTCCTGCCAGCAGCCGCCTGGCCGCTATCGCGGGGACCCGGCCCTCGGTGCGCCACGGGCAGCTGCTGCTCTCCAGCGGGCTCCCCTCCCTGGATTGTGTGCTAGGTTGGTTCAGAGCCGGGACCCGGCCTCGCAGCGCAGGATACTGGCTGACTGTCCCCCTCCTGCTGGCTGCTCCCTTCCTCCTATTCCTTGCCCGCTCCTCTTCCCTTCCTTACACCCGCAGCCGCCTCAGTGCCGCCTCCCGATTTGTGGGAGACTCTTTCTGCCAGTCCGACCCTCCCCAAAGCGTCGCTGACTTGGGGAAGGGGCGTGGGAGACTCCTCACCTGACGCTCATCCTCGAGGTTCCTTATTCTTGCGGGGTGTAGGGGAGATGCGTGTAAAGGTCCTTGCAACCTGCTTTGTGGGGTTAGACGAGTGCACCGAGCCACGTGGGCTTCGTACCCGTTTATACTTTTTTTTTTTTTCTGGAGTGGAAGGATTTGATGTGCCTGGTTTTTCCCAGTGAGACACTTGCTATCTCAGTCTTCATTTATTTCAAATCTTTACACATTCAGACTGTCACAGAAGGGGGTGGTTTACTGGACTAAGCCTCAAATTATGAAATCGTGCCAAATACATCCCTAGTGTAGTTACCTTCTGTGGTGTTAGACCTTGGAAGCATTTTGGACATGAACTTGGAACTGTGGGTTTGAAGCCCAGGGTCTCAGCTCAGATCCTATCTAAATTACTCTATTTTCAGCCATTGATGTCTAGCCACTGGTATAGCTGCAGTTCTATAACATTGTGGAAAAGCACTGTCTAAGAACTAAGTATTATTAATGTATTTTTGTAAATTAGTTAAACTGCTATACTGTGTGGTTTGCACCAGCACAATTTACACAGATTTCAAATGGGCAAGTTCCATCATTGCAAATAGTGGCATTGCCTGTCTATGCTAGGCTAGGGGTTTGCACTGGTGCAGCTATCCTAATGACTGATTGTCAATAGCTGTTTAGGTAGATCCTCAGTATAAACAAGTTTTTAAATTCCAGGTGTCACAGGCATGACTCATCCCTTTCATCCCTGGAGGCAGATATCTGTAGGGCTAGCATTTTACAATGTTTGGGCATCTACAGGTGAGGTAATAAATGGTAGAATGGTGTCTGATCTTTGGAAATGATTCTTCTGCCTTGGTGTCCTAAATCTCTCTTCTGCATCCTCCCCCTTTCCTATGCTGTACATCATGTAGAGAGGGAGGAGAGAACACTTCTGCTATCTTACCAGGAATGGTGATCCATGTTAGGGAGAGAGAAACATCCTTCTTAAGGGAGAGACATGTAGCTGCATTTTATTCCTACTGTAAATAAAGCACTTCGAGAAGAAAAGTACAGTATAAATGTCAGAGAACTAAACTGACCATCCTGATTTTTGTGCATGTTCTATTTTATAAAGTGTGGGGTTTGACCGGTCTGTGTTTGCTGTACCATGCTGTGCATTTCAATCTTCTGAGCCACCATCTTCTTGCTTACATAATGATTAGAGCTGCATTTGATAAGGTGAATTAGGGAAACTTCTTCCTACATACTCTGTGCCCCATTTAAGCTATCTCTTCCCTGTCTTTAAGCATTCAGTAACTTCCCAGCCTCTAGAAAAAATATTTATTTTGAGAGAGAAAATGAGAACTTAGTGAGATGTTAATATTAGGTGAACCACATGAAAGCCCTTCATCACCAGAAGTAGCAACTTTTGAAACAACCTTTTTTGAAGGAATCCAAACCATGGGTGACTGGCAGGTTTGCAAAATTCAGATTCATTTCACTGAACCTTCAGTAACCTCCTGGCCTCAAGGAAGTCTTTCTCCTTGCTTCCTTTATATAGCTTGCAGCTGTATATATGTGATCACTTGCTAAATTGATTACAGCATGCATGAAAACCTCTGTATAGATTTTCTCCCTGTTGCCTACTAACAATTTCACAGATAAATAATTGACAATGTAGTATATTGTATTTCATTGTTATCAGGACTTATAGTGTGTTTTTGTTTGTTTTTTGTTGTTGTTTTGAAAAAACTCCTTTATTTTGCAGAAGATATTTACAATAACACCGTGCACAAACTTCCTTCGTTCACAATTGGGCTTCAAAGAAGTGTTTTTGTGTAAGCTCCCTACCCCAAGGAACAAGTGTGTGAATGTTAAAGCAAGAGGCATATGTTAAAAAGAGCATTTGTAATAGGTACAGATCTAGGATAGAATAGGGACCATTAGGGTTGTGGTGAGGCTTGTCAGTGACTAGCTACATTGTCCCCCAAACTTTGCCAACATACCTGTTAAAAGTACACTAAATACAGTTGTATATCACTACTTTAAACAACTGTTCAATACTCTTTTCACTTTAGACAGTGGGGAGCTGTGTCCTTTTTCTTCTACGCTAAAATGACCTTTTATTTTTAAAGCAGCTACTCCTGTCCTGCACTTCATTCATGAACTTGATTTTTGAACCAAATCTGTTCCATGCAAATCCTATCCTCTGTTGTGAGAAATGCTGACTCAAGAAGTTGTTTGTGGGGTGGCTTTTTATTTGTGGGTGGTTGTTGTTTTGTTTTGTCTTTATGTTGAAGAAATTCCATAGTATTTCACATAACATTGTTTTTTTTATTGTATCCCTCGCTTTGCATATCAGTCTTTCATTTGGGTTTCTAAGACTGAGAGTTATTCATTATACTTCTTAGCATGATCATTTCCATTCATATAGTATGGAAGTTCCAACACAGAGACACAGCATTATCCCCAGACATCGCAAATAGGAGTTAGTGAAATCATGCTGGTAAAAATACACTTGTAATTACAGTTACAGCCTGTATCCCAGCATTAGCACAGCAGTAAAAAGAAACTGTTAAGAAACCATTAAGCAAAGATAGAACTTGAAGAGAACTATATAGTAATTTAAATTGCCCTCTGTATACTTGTTGAACTGGTTCTACTGCAATTTTTTTTCTTTAACTTTCTCTTCTCCAGAAAGAGAGGGGCAGCTAAATGCAGTAAGTTTCTGATCCAGCAATGCACCGAAGCCTGTGCCTAACTTTAAGGACACAAGTAGTCCAGTTAAAGTCAGTGGGACTACTCGTATCCTGAGTTAGGCACAGGCTTGAGTTAGGGAGCTGTGGCCCATAGAAATATATTGTTACATTTTATAAACTGTCATTGTCTTGTAGAGTATATGTCATATACTGAAAGCTTTTCTGTCTCAATTGATTCAACCAAGATAGTATTTGTAAAGCACTGAAGATGCAAAATATTATACAAATGCTAAATATTAGTTTTACTGATGGTTTTTCCTAATTTTATCAACTTACTGTTCCCTTTACATCAGACAGATTCATACTTCTAGTAGACTTCCATTTCTGTCAGTATTTTTTAAATACATAATAAAGCTGTCTATGCTCTAAGCAGGAATATATCATATGATAATTCTTCTGTCTATTCCACTCTTCAATGGAAAACATTGTTCTCCAAAATCATATCAGTATTTTCTCCTTCCAAATGCATCCTATAAGAGATACATGATTTATATTATAGTTTCAATCTTTTCTGTGCAGTTTCAACAATTCTCTTTTTCTTATTCAAGGCTCAGATCTGTATGGTGGTGCAGAAAATGAACTGCTTGTTCTCTCCTGCTCTCAGCTAGAACCATGATAACCAGTACCATACATAAAGGACTGAGTTGCCAAACTGAGGAACAAACAAGTTACAAATGCATAGCAGTAATAGGGCCCTTCAAAAAGATTTTGAAGCATTTTAAAATAACCTTTCTTTCCTTTCATTCTGTCAGCTTTCTATTTTCTCTCCAATCTATTTCACACCAATTCACTTGTTTCTCCACGTATAGAGAGAGAGGTGTGTGTGAAAATTCCATGGTAACCACGTACTAGTTTCATATACCATCTAATACAATAAAGTTATTTAAAGTATTTATTACAGAGATACAGTAAAATGATCCTCTGATCCTAGGAAATGCCAAGCTGGGTTGTGTTTTATGCCCTAAATACTCAGGCAGGTACTGAAAGTCTGGCCTGTAAAAAGTGGTAGTGTGCAAAAAAAATCCTTGAGACGTAACTTATTTTTTTTTAAAAATCTGATTTTGCTGACAATTTGTCAATCCAGCACCCTCTCAGTACAAGTTACTGTTTTTAAAATGTGCTGCTTCTGCTATGAACATGAGAAGAGAGTTTAAAATCTTGATAATGGTGATGATAAAATATATATATATATAATTACCTGTGGATTTCTGAGCTTGTCCCATTTTGTGTGTGTAACTACTGTCTCGTAAGGTCTTTGAGGCTTGAGCTGTTTGTGTATTGCACAGAGCTAAGTACACTGCTGGTGCTAAACAAATAATGTTCTTCATAATGGTGTGCATTTTAAAAAAAAAAAAAAAAGACTTTTTTTAGCCCTGCACTAAATTGTTCACTCCTCTGATTTGGGAAGAAAAACTCCCATTCAATCTACTGTTCTGTTGCACAGTTAACATAAGACATTAACATTCAAACTGGCATATTGAACTTTTGGAATACTTTTTGTAGGCCCCATCTATAGCTATTTTTTACTTTTGAGCAAATAAAGTGCAACAACAATCTGAAAGAATTCAGAATAATTTTGTATACTTAAAAAGGTAGAATAATTCTAACAGTCGCTGACTAGCTAGAAAGTTTGTAGGTGTAGTGTAAAATGTTTGATTAAAGTTGTTTGCCATAACTGCTAATAAGAAATTATATGATCTGACTAAGTAGTGTGGCTTAGTCTTTGTGATACAAATGGGGATTTAATCACAATATGAGTTCTTTATACAGTGCAATTATACAATGGCACAGTGACTTACTGCTGAAATTGACATGCTGATGTCACAATGTAATTTTCAAAATGTAATGGAAGAAGGATATTATGATGGCAAATGAGGTGACAATATTGTCACTTCTGTGACTGCTACAGAAGTCCTGGGACTTCTGTGTAGTTGAAAGGTAAATGTATAGTAATATCCCTGCATGCAAGTACAGTGAATTTTGACTGAACAGTCGATGATGATGATGTATTTCACCATATATTTTTGCCTGTAGTTTTAACCATAACTACAGAAGATGCAAAACTGTCAGATGGGATTTGCTCTGTTGGATGTTACTATTATGTAACTATGTAAATAATTCTTCTGATTAGTTATATTTTGGAAATTGTACTGAAGGTGCTTTTATTCTTTCTCTCCCCGCCTCCCCAGTTTCTGTTAGAATATTTGATCACTAAAAATCGCTATTTTTTTTGCTTCTTGTCACTTGGAAAATCCCAATTCTGACCTCTTCCTGGCATGCAGCAGTTTGATATCCTGGGTTAATAGCTCAATTTGCTCTATTAGCACACTTAGTTAAATTTGTGTATTTCAGTAAAATTAGAAATGGACCTAACGTAATGCTGTACTGTACACTCCTGAACTTTCGGAAGGATTGGATCCTTTATTGACTTTGCAGCTGGGCTTAGGTTTAAGTTTAAATGTTTAATATTTTCCAGTTCTATAGTTTCTAACTTATTTTGTATGTATACAAAATTTTCTTAATTTACAATTGCTTATTAGCATACCTTCATCGTGGTGTATATCCACCAAGTATCCTGCCGTTCAGATTTCATGTTGCAACATTAATTCCACAATCATAATCAATAGACTGGACCATAAAGGAAAGAATATTGAATTAAAACAGTTGCTAATAGACATAAGAAGAACCACACCACTTCTTTAAAACAAAAATATCCAGAACCACTTTTTTATTCTACATTTTTGTTGACAACGTGTTGCAACAGTCAAAGGCACTGGTGACAATTTTTAGACATGTTGTGTCTAGCTAATATTGGAGTTATGAAAAAAGTATAGTAATGTGAAAATAAATTAACTGATATATTTGGAAGTTGCCTGGTCTGGTATTCTCTATTGTTGTATTGAATTTAAAATCACTTGCTGACTCTTATCAGGTTGTGGAGAACAATTCTAGCAACATCAATGAGTTAAAAATGAATTCATGTAGATTGATAATAGATGCAGGACATTTTGCCTCTCCATCACCACTAAGGATGAGATAGTTAGTGACTGAAAGTTGCCCACTGATGATTATTTGGCCTGTATAAAACAGGTTTGTGATCTTGGTCCCAGTTCCTTTTGGATGTATTCCCAACATTGCAATTGGTACTAATGTTCATAGTCACAGCAGCAAAGCTAAAGATTCCATTTCTTACTGAAATCAGCTGGAGTTGTATCAGGCACTAAATTGGCATATAGCATGAACTATGCCTATGCCTATCCCTACAGGTGGTCCATGTAGGCCAGGGTTGACGCTCTTATCAAGAGCTTAGGAAGTAATTACCTTTGTACGTGACTCTACCTGTTTGGTGGAGAGGGGATTTCAGCCTCTATGCCTCCACTGGCATCTTCAATGAGCTCTACATTTGCTTTTAGAAGAAGATATAATTGTATTATATTGGCAAATGTGAAACACCTTAGCAGACTAGTTAACAATAATAGCATGATAGAACTGCATTGATTATATTTTTCCATCACAACTTTCTATGGTTCCTTAATAAATGCTCATAAGGAATTAGAGGAGCAAATTGAAATACAAATTAAAATGTTTTTCTCCCAGTATAAAACATGGAAGTAATTTTAGATTTTGGGGGGGGGGGGTGTCAGATCTTCTCTCTCTTTATAGATAATTTAAACTTGTTTTGACACTAAGGCCAGAATTCTCAAACCTGGTTTCATAAAGTTAGGTTCTGAAGATGTATTAATGTGCTGAACATCTTTCAGTTGCCAGTGGAATTTCTGCTTGACCAGCCTTTTTGAAAATTGGGCTGGTCCTTGAAATACTCAAAAAGCAATTTAGGAGCTTCATTTCAGACACTTTGATCTGAAATTTTTGGCCTAAATTTATTCCTTCTAAACTTCTGGCGGAGATTTTAAATGTTGCACCTTAGTTTATTTGTACCAAACCATAAGTTTAAAAAGTCCTCATATTTGGGCTTAAGTCAGTTTGACTTTTTGGATAAAGTTTAAATAGCTGGACCAATAGTTCAAAAGATATTTTCTAGGACGAGGCCTGCTTAGATATCAGACTTATTCCTAAAGCTCTCTTATCTATTCTCTTCATCTCCACTTAGCTATCACCTATTCACCTCAACAGTAATTATTAGTATATGTCCAGGGAAAATAGGATATCCCTATACACTTCCAACTTCTTGCCTTCCCTTTGTTTCCCCCATAAGCCCCCCTTTCCCCCCACTCAAATCACACCCCATGTGCATACTCTTAAGATGTTAATAACGTAAACCATACTTAATTTGCCCTGGAAATAGTTTGTACAATGTGCATCAAACAAGTTCTTGAACACAGATGGAAAATAGTTAGCAAGATCACTTTGACCATGGAGCTTTCTCTAGGAACAACTTTTAAAGAGAATATATTTCCAGCTGGTATTTATTCCATTTGTAGCTCACACATGATACAACATCGTTTTTGTTTTTTTTTTAAATTGATAGTGATAACTGTTGATGTACGTATTAGCTGTTCAGAAGTACCTTTTTTGGTTTGAGCAACACTTAAATACTTAATTATATGTGTGTGAGTGTGTGTAATCTGTAAGAAATCTAAAGAGAAATTGTGTAGTCAGTATAATAGCTAAATTAATTAGAACAGGAATATTTAAATAAGAAAAAGTATTAGCTGATACAGAATTTATTGAAAGTTATTTATTAACTAAAATTTCTTACTGCAAAATAGTAACCATTGGGCTCTTCCTAAACTTGGGGCGGCATATAGAGTACCGACACTGCATGCTTCCCTACCATGGGTGTAAATAGCAATATAGATGGTGAGGCGTTGCTTAGGTGAGTAAAGGCATGCCAGAATATTAGCCTACAACAAGAGAACTCAATAGGTGGACCGCAGGCCAAATCCAGACCGCCAGATACTTTTGAACGGACCCTGAAATATGTATATATTTTTTTTTACTCATTTATTGTTGTTGAGTTATTTTCTCTGGAGTCTGGACCTTAACTATACCTTGATCAAGAAATTGGATCTTAACAAAAAATAATTGACTACCCTACACAGCTCTCCACACACTAAAGCAGTGGCTCCTACATCTACATTGCTATTTTTAGCAATGTAGCATCCTGCTGCTGGAGCCTTTCCTTGCTCCTGGGAAAGGCTCCAGAAGCTGGGAAAGGCTTTGGCAGCAGGGAAGCAGCAGAGAGAGGCTTCTGCAGCAAGGAGCTGCTGAAGTCTTTCCTTACTGCCTCCCACACCAGAGCCTTTCTCTGTCATGAGCAGCTACATAGGGCAATACGGATACACTTCAATACTGCCTTTCACTTCAGCTTGTAGCTACGTATACCCTATATGCCGCCACAAGTGTAGACAAAGCCTCAGTTGCCCTATTTCCTCAGAATATAATTCAGTAAAACGTACAGAACTGTTTGCAGTACTAAATTTATTATAAAAATGTTTTATCACTTCATACAGGTAGGATAGCCTTGTTTGCTGCAGTGAATGTTTTAGTTGTACAGCTGGGACAAACATAGGCCCACTTTCATATTTGGCTGCTTCATAAAAATGTGTAAATTTGTAAGATTTCTTTCATAGTGAGCTGTCTATTCTCTGCCATTGTAGTAGTGGTTTCTAAAACAACTTTTTTCCTTCACTGTCCTCCTTCCACTTCAGTTCTGTTAAGGATAGTTAACACTCTTCTTTATTTTTAAGAGAATTACTTATTTTAGGAGACTGGCCACTTATACTAGCCTTGCAAAATTCTACTTGTCCCATGTAAAGAATTTTTTTTTATAAATGTGCAAAATGGTAGCTTTTTTTTTTTTTTCATTAAAAGGATGGTTGTGGAGGCTTATGTTTGGGCTGGTAAATATTATGCTCACTTTATAAAACTGACTGATGGAATGACCTCATTGATATTATAAATTCTGAGGTGGGGATCAAGAAAATCAACTCTAATGTAGTCACAATTCAAAATGTGTAGTAATGAATTCAACTGTTCTTTCAAGTGTACTAAGATGTAAGATAGGTTTCTCAAACTGAATATTAATTTCAGCTAACATCAGTTTTTTGCTATGTTCATTTGATCATCAGTGATTGGTACATAATGACTTTTTATTTAAACAAAATGGGAATAGAAAAATATTGATGCTCTTAGCTAAAAAAGAGGATGGAGTGTATCCTTATTTTTTAACAACCAGTTATGTTTATCCAGGCAGGCCTCTAGATATTAGAGGAGAAGTGTCAAACAAGGAAATGCTTTTTGAGTACAAGCTTAATCTCTCAGATTTTATGTACTTAAAGGTCTCATTCGACTCTCATTGTGTGAAATCTGGCTCCACTGAAGTCAAAGTTTTTATCATTTACTTCAGTGTAGCCAGAATTTTCCCTGTTGACATCAATGCGAGTTGGATGAGCCCTTGTTGAGGTACTCTGCATAGTTAATTGGTGGCTGTAGAGTTAGTATTATTAATCGCTGTTAAATATGGACCCAATCCTGCACATTTTTATTCACATGAGTAGTCCCACTAAAGTAAGTGTTTGATTAAGGCTCTACAACATTATTGCAGTACTTAAGCTCAGTTGTGTAGATCTCTGCAGGATCTTTTCATATAAAGAGAATAGTACAATATATTTTGAAAGTAATTGTAATGTGTAATATATAATTATATGTAATATGTAATTATTTCATAATAGTGAATTGTAGGAAGTTTGCAAAGGTAATTAAAATGTTGTTCACATTTACATTTTTAAACTTGCTATATCATCTTTCTTTGACTTACAAACTAAGCAAGCTTAATTGTTCTCTAAGGTAACATTAAAATGTAGTCTCATCTTATTCTTGGTTTTTGTTTTGTTTCCAGGTGGAGGTTTAGCTGTTGGAACCCTTCTTCTTATTGGTTAGTACAGAATGTGTGAATATATTGTGCTATACTTTTGTTGCACTTAGCTAATATTTTATATAGCTATGATTACAATCTCTTTTTTTTTTTTTTTAATTTCGCTCAGACTTTAATTCTCAGCACCCTCCATGTTTGACTGTCTTCATGGTCGGTCATTCCTCATCTCCGTAGCAGTTAGTGGCAAACCAGATTTTTGCTCTGAACCTGGGCTTTGGACTGCCGGTTGGGAAGAACTCTCCAGAATTCTCGCCTCCAAGCAGCAAGCATGGCATAGTCCAGGTTTCCCTTTGTAGCAAAGCTTTAAAATCTTATAAAAGCCCATTAAACTAAATTTCTCTGCCTTTATTGGTTTTGAGATTTTTCTCCACAAAACTGCTAAACTTAAAACTTTGGCTTTCTGAGGAGAGTTTGAAGGATAGCAACTTTCTTCCCCTCCTCCCTCAGAAATGGCCAACAGAGATAGCAGACCACAGGAACTCTGCATCCAGCTGTGATGTGGGCAGGGTATATGCCAAGACAGCTAAGCAGGCCACACTGAAACCTGGCTCCTAGCCATGTGTGGGCAAGGTCTACACTGAGAGAGTTGAGCAGGCCACATGGAAGCTCCCTTCACTGAGACCAGTTCAGAATCAGTGTCCTAGAACTGGAATTAAGTTTTCCACAGCCCTACTACCTCTCCCTTGAGAATGGGACCCCCTATTGCCACAGCTGGCAGAGCAAGTAGGGAAGTTGGAGCCTTATGAATCTTGGGTGGAGGCAAGGTGAGGGGGAGCCGGGAGTGAAGAAATACCTGCTTACAGCCAGCATGTAGGCAAGATCCATGCTAAGATGATTAAAAAGGGTGCAAAGCATGTCAGCTTCTGTGACCTTTCTGATACCAAATGAGTCATTTGTTTCCAATAGCTGTGGCTCATTCCTAATTCTATGCAGTTGTCCCCTGCTCAGCCTGGACCTAGCAGCAAGGAGCATGAGGTGAAATGATTTAGCGTGGATTGTAGACCTGTCTTTTCTCTGCCTTCCATCCTGCAGGAGTCCCACAAAATGTCATAAAATGGTTACATTTTTTTTTTTTTAGAGAAACCTGAAGGATGCATGCCTGAAGACTGTCCTTTCAATCTCAATAGTAACCTGCTCTCTGCCTTCTCACAGGGGATTGGCCAAGAGACTGGTGAAGGATAGATACTGCAAATTCAGTTCCTAAAGGGACAGCACAAAAACTTGAAATATGTAATGAGAGAGTCTCACTTCTAGATCCTTTAAAGAGGAGAAAACTAAACTCTGAGATCCTTCCAACTATTTTGTTAAACACTGTAGGGAGCATAAACCCTGAGTAACTTTGTCTCTAGGTGAAGGAATAAGTCCCTCCCTCCTTTCAATGAGAGAATATTCAAACTCCCTTATGTCATTGGTGTTTTCTTTGAAGCTGTTGCACCAGGTTCCAATGTAGAGATTACACATTAAGAAGAGGGCATTGCTGCCTTTCATGAGAGTTGGGAGAGCAAGGAAAACTATGTAATCTCAAAAGCTTCTCTTGTTTTTGGGTTTCCAAGTCTGGGCAGATTTCCCCCAGGTCCACCACAATGAAGAGTGTTTCGTCTGGGAGTGAACCACCTCAGAAAATGGGTGTTAAAAATAATCAGTGGAAGGATATTCGGAAGAACTATAGAATTCAATCATTGCCTCTTGGCCAAGCTTATCTTTTCCCTGAAGTAAATGAAAATGAACCAACACTATTAGCAAGACCCTTTCTAGAATCAGAAGGTGAAGGGTGAATGGTTCATCTCCTACACGTTGGAACAATATAGAACCAGTTCTGAGGAGAGACAGATATTTTTGGAAAGGGCAGAAGATCTTTTTGTGGTACAAAGAGAAACAGTGGTATATAGTCCATTTTAGATCTCAAGTCCATAAAGGGTTTAATATTCCAGGTGGATATATGAAATCCATCATTACAGCATTATCTTCCCAGAACTTCACAGTATGAAAATAAACCTGGAGTCCTACTGAAAATATGATCGGGGAGAGTTACCCAGAAATACTTTAGCTTCTGCTACAACAAGAAGTATTTTCAATGAGGTTTCATGAGCCCTTTTGGAACTTATACTACATTTGTGAATATCAGTATAGAAGTTATCTTTGCTTCCTTCCAGTGAAAGGAAGAGATGATGTCTGGATGACCTTCTCATCATGTTACAAAAGGCTCAGCAGCCATTGTTAAGTCTTCAGAAACATGGCTTTGAGTGAACAAGTAGAACGGCCAATTATAGGCCTCACAAAACTCTAGCATCTAAATTATCACTCAAGACAACCTTAGAGCTCTCCCAGCACTCTTTTAAAAAAAAAAAAAAACACACACACACACCTCGATGAGCGGCATAGCTACCAGCACTAGGGCATTATATACACTGGTGCTTTACAGCACTGCCACTTGCTGTGCTCAGGAGGGTGTTTTTTCACACCTCAAGAGAGAAAGTTGCAGCACTGTTAATTGCCAGTGTAAACAAGCCCTAAGAAGTGGGCTAAAAGATCTCCTTTGTGCCTTCACCCCTCAGTCACTGAGAGTAAAGATGGTAAAGAATATTGTGAAGGAACAGGCCACCGTGATTATAATCTTATTAAACCTTAGATCTTTCCTCAGTCAGGTCTGAGAAGCGTAATTGGAACCTTCTTTAAAACTTCCAGCGCATGCACGCACTCTTAAAAAGGGCCTATTCTGAACGGATATCCCATGCTGCTAATTCGTCATCTGGGAAGCTGAGAGGAAGGAACTACAGTTTCTCATTCTAAGGAGGTGATCAGCAGCCACCTAGCATCTTAGAAGAAATATACAAATGATGTCTGTCATAAACTGGAGATCTAGATACTAATGTTACAAAGAACATACATAAGGGCAAAGTCAGCTGAAGCAAAGGACAAGTTGGCCTGATCATCGGACTCAAGCCCAATGCTCTTTAGAAAGACAAGTCAGTGACTGCAAGCATATTGTACTTTAAGAAAACCAGGAAAATTTCTTATTGCAGTCAGATAACAGGTTCCTGAGAACGACTACTCTTTCCAGTCCACTGTCAAGATGCAGTTTCTCCTAGCCCACAGATCAAAATCATAATAACTTCTATTAGAACTAGCTTTTCAACTTCACAGTTGGTAGGTCTCTTACTTTCAGTGAGAAGAGGATCTTGCCTACCTGGCACCTCCTTGTCCAAGGAAGCTACAGAGTTTGGTATGCTTGGAGTGAAACCCCAGTTACACATTCGGACTTCTGTGAACTAATTAGGCCTCCATTCCCAAAAATACCAGTCTTCCTCACATAATAGAAAGTGTTATTGTTGCTCTTCTGGTTGAAACAAATACCCTAAGTACATAAGTTAAATGTGAATGGAGTCTATAGAGGAATAAAGGTGTGCGTATATAGCAGAGGCATTCAAAGCCTCAGGTATGACTCTTCTTATTACTACGCACTTTGTGAAAAGAGCAATAATAGAGAGATCATACACATCTTATCAGGATCTTTGTAAGGTTACTTACAGGGTCTTCCATCTAGACTTTCTTAATACTATAAAGTTACACTCTTACCCCATCTGATACAGGGTTTGGTAGAAGTCTGTTCCTCAACAGGGTGGCTGTTAAATCTTAAGTTCCTGTTCAGTTCTACACAGGTAAACTGAGTCCCTCCTTGCCTAGGGTGATTTACTGCTTTCTACATCCCTGCTCTGAAGACTGACTGACATGGAGGGGACTGAGAAGAAAAATTCTCTTGTAAATTTTCTTTCTAGGATTCTCCGTATCAGATCGTCTGATCATGCCTTGGAAGAATGCATTATGTCCAGAGTGAGGGGGAGGGGTGGTCGGTTTTGTTTTTGTTTTTTTTTTTTTCACCTGGCTATTCCTTGCTTGCTTGTTAAATAGTGTGAAAAGGAAAAAGGTGTTCCTCCGGAAAATTGCTAATTTTTTTCATATCAAGGTTCTGTTGTAAATGGTTTGAGTTGGATAGCACTTTATATAGAATTAATATTTTTCAGCTTTGGAAGCTGTTGTTCTGAAGAGTTCTTTCTGAGCAGTGATCCTAAGCCCAAATTCAGAGCAAAGATCTGGTCTGCCTCCCATTGCTGTGGCAAAGGGGAATGTCCCACTATGAAGGCTGTCTAACATGGAGGGTTAGAATGAAAATTCACAGGGAAAATAGAATTTTCCCTATTTCTTACTTTTAAAAAAAAAATTATCTAGTCCTTCCTCAAACCAATGCTGCCTGTCTTTCCACAGGATAAAATAAAATTCAGTGTGGACAAATACCTGAGCGCTGATCTCAGTGCCTGCAGAGTTGGGGCTGGAAAGAAAAGATGTTCACTTTTATTCACAAAGCCTGTATCTTACACACACACACACACACACACAATACCAAAAAAAGTATTAAAGTTTTAGTACAAACTGACATATTTCAGGATATTCAGTAAAGTGGACTGGGTTATATGCTTCTATAAATCGATTGGGAACAATGAATTGGCTTGTGTTTGACTCAAATTATTACAACCATAATGATATATAAAGGGTGCAGCCTTTTTAGCAGCATTAATTTTTTTTTATGTACATTTTAGTACTTAGGAAAGCACCACAGAACTGGTTCAGTATAGGTAACAGAAGTACAGTCTTCCCCATTCTGCTATACTAATATACCTGAAGCCAGTTCTACAGTAGCCATCTTTACAACTAAGAGGTAATTTAGTCTCTTTGACCATTCAAATCTAACTTCAAAAAGATTTTTATTGGAATTAAAATCTGTGCAAGTATGGCCAAAGAGTGAACAAGGATATACTCTGTTTGGCGGTAGTTCCAAGACATCAAGCATCTGCCCAAGATATGGCTTCACAATATTAAGAGATTTAATCATTTATATCTAGTTATCAAAGATTATAAGGCCAAAAGGGACCACAGTGATAATCTGTTACTACCTCTTGTATAACACAGGCCATAGGACTTGCCTGAATTAATTCCTGTTTGAG